ATTCCCCTTTTCAAGATATTAAAAAACAAAAACACTTTTGAGGACCAGTGTGGTGCTGAGACAGGAGGAAAAAACGTACAGATTTGAGGCAAGATTGTGAAGGGGCTGAGATTTTTGGCTGCCTGCCACGCTCTCATGGAAGCCTGTAGAGTACAGGAGGCCCCTGTGCCAGACACAGAGGACTTTGTTACTTAGGGTACCACAGGCAGCATGGGCATCAGCATATTTGTATCCATTCTCCTTACCCTCCAGTCTCACAGAGTCTACACAGATGGGCCCATAGAGATGCCTGTTCAGGCAGTAGGTTACATTAGAGGAGAGGAACCTTCAACTTAAGGAATCTGAGTTACCCGTTAGCCAGGTATGCCCTCTGCTCAAGGGAGACATGATCTCATTTATCCTGGATTTTAAGGCTGCCTACCCTTTCCTCTGGAAGGAGATACTATCTCTACCTTGCAAGGGTGTAAGCAAACCTGTTTTTAGCTTCAGAGGAAGACACTATCTTTGTCTTCCAAGGTTGTTCAGTATGCACATGTCCTTGAAAAGATAATCTGGAAAAAAGGGCCATTAGTGCCTCTCATTCCTACTCATAAAATATATAGAAATGTGAGAGTCCCATGGATAATTTTCTTTCTAATACTTTGTCTTTCATCAAGTAGCAACAGGGTTGACCTTTAGTTGAGCCATAGGTAGACGTTTTACTGCTTTAGCAAAGCATGTACCTTTGACACATGGGATGGATGCATTTCTTGACCTTGGGCAGGGGTTAAGGCTATGCCTAAAATACCTGGATGAGAAAAACATGTTGAATGAAGACAGGGAGGGAGAGCGGGAGAGAGAGAGATGGGGGTGAGAGAATAGAAAAAAGTGAGAGCAAGAGAGAGAGAAAAGGAGAAAAATAGAAAGTATTTGACAGATTCATAGAAGTATATTGGGATATAGAAACCATGAATGGGAGTATGGATGGCTGGATGAAGAAATAAAGACAAAACATACATGGGTGGATATATAGATACATAATGGGTGGATGATAGATACAGAATTATATAAATAGACTGAAAGTGTAAGGGAAAGAAAGACACAGGGAATAAGAGAAAGACAAAAGCTCACAAGGGCTGAGACCAAGTCAGAGAAAGAGAGTACTCGGAGAAAGACAGAGACAGAGAGATACATGAAGATACAGAAAAAGACAGAGAAAGAACATGGTTGGACAGACAAATGGAGAGAAGAATGAGGAGTGAGAGAAATAGATAGAAGGGTGGGTAAATACATGGATAAAAGATAGATAATTAAAGAGAGAGAAGAGGTAATATAATGTGACTTTGGGCTCGGTATTCTGATCTTGTTGCTTTGGTTCTGCCACTGCCTAACTGTATGATTTGGGGCAAGTTACTTTATCTGTCAAATGGGAATACTACTAATAATACTGACCTCAGAGGGTCATTTTAAAGTCTGAATAGAGATAAGCTTCATAAATGCAAGTTGGCAGGCCTGTGATAATTCTATTTGCAGAAAGACAACTTGTTCCATCAGCTGAAATGCCCATCCCCATGAATCTTATAGGCTTCAACATTTCCAGCACTCACACTAAATTGTTGTTTCCCATTGGAGCCCTAGCTGAGTCTGGCAGATGTGTCAAACCCTGAGAAAGCCAACACTGGCATCCAACATTCAAATAGCAATTTTATGCAAACGGGATCTTCTCATTATGTTCTCCTTCTGCAATCCATAATTATTGCTTCTGAATGAATCTGAGGTTGTCTTCATCTCCATGAAATGAGGTCACACTACTTATATAGTAAATTAAAGGCAAATTGAGCAGATGATATCTATAAAATAAGAAACATGCCATTTTTAGAGCCATTGACACTGTGCTAAATGAGTTGATTTTCAATCCAAATCAAGTATGTGTATTATTTGGTTCAGCATCCCAACATTCAGATGGAAATACACACTCTTTGAAGACTTGTTAGTCTTTTACTCTTCACAGAGTTAGCATTTATGATAAGGAATTACTTCTTTAGTCCTATGATTTCAGTTTATATCCAAGCACATAATGGTTCACAGTTCATTCTTGCTAAAGAGAAAAAAAGGATTTTCCTGCCTAAGTTATTTTCGTATGTCATGTTATGGTGAAATATTTCCAAATGAAGTGACATGAAAAGCACAACCTATAACGTTTGGCTACATCAGAATGCATTAAGGACTCTTTCTGACCTGCTTTTTAAATTGTTCTTTATGTACCCAAGAATTTGCACTTCCAAGGACAGTTATTATAGTTTCTAGCACACACTTAATTCAATTAGTTCTTCACCTTTAATGAAGGCAGAATAAATAAAAATTATCCTGATTTAGTAAAAATTAGGTATTTTTTTTCCCAAATGATTCTTTACCTCTCTATTCTCTTACTCCTGCTCAACCTTATGAGTAAACAAGTACACAGATGGTATAATTTAAAGAGCAGCACAATAGTGCATGTGAAAATACTTCAAAACATTCTCTTGTCTCTTTTCTATTAAATATTCCTCTAATCAGAAATTCCACCATTAGACAGTCTTTCATATGGCATAAACAGCCTTCCTTTACAATCCTCTATTAAAATATGAAAACTTCTGAATAGTTTGGGTAATATTTGAGACAAATTTATTTTATTTGGATCATTTTTCTTTTGAAGCATTCAGATTCAATAAACATTATTGAACCTAACTTCAGTCATGAGTTGGGTGGAGTGACATAGTGGAGACAGGAGACCTGACACTTATTTATTCACTCACCAAATGTTTACTGAGCTCTTACTATTTGTCAGACACCATGCTATGCACTCGGTATATAATATAGACTGTGTCCTCATGGAACATGCGATGCATTGAGTGAGGTGATTGGTGTTTACATAATCACAGAATTAATAACTGAAGATTGCAATGACCTCAATGAAGGAGAGCAAGGGGCTATTATAGCCTAACAGATTCTGCAAGAATGGGAAGGTCATATAAATCAACTTTTCTAGGGCCATGGTGCTATCCAGGACAGCCAAGTCATGTTCAAAGGGGTAGGTACTCTTGAATAAGAAGCAGAAGTTCTTGTGAAGAAGTAGCATAGAGCAGCTTTGTGGACCAGAAAGCTAAGTACTGAGAATGGAATTTACTTGGAAAGTTGGCTCCACATTTTGCTTTCCTCTGGCATAGATCATTGCTGCTGAGTCATGCATGGTGTCTTCATCTCTCTTCTCCAGCCCTCTCATACTCTTATTCTGAGGCTAGCCTGGCATTTCTCACAAGCAGTGTTGGGTAACATAGCAGAATGTGTGTACAGCTCGTTCCTCCTGGGCATCAAGCTCCTTGAGCTCAACGGTACATCCTCAGTAAATGCCAGGTATGTATGAATGAATGACAACAACAACCTCTGAGAGGGATATTATTTGTCCTATTTGTCAAATAAGGAAACAAGGTCAGAGTGGTTTAATGGTTTATCTAATGTCACACATACAAAATGTGGCTATTTCTGGATCTCAACTCAAGTTCCTTTAGAGCAAAAATTTACGTTAGAAACTTACTATCTTATGAAACAAAGACATAAAGACAACACCCCCATACCACCTGAATTTATTTATGATGACTCTAAATATGTGTCTTATTTGCATATATGCAAAACAGATAAGGTATAGGTTCGGTAACAGTAACAAACAAACCTCAAATCTCAGTGGTTTAAAGCAACAACAGTTGATTTCTCATGCAGGTTGTATGTTGATTGCAGGTCACCAGGAGGTTCTGCTCATTGGTGTTATACATGGAGCAGTTTTCATTGCAAACATTGCTTCTCACCATGCCAAACAGAAAAATAGAGCTCTAGAATGTCTGGCAGTTAAATACTCCAGGCTGGAAGTGACACATTGTCACTGCAATTTATAACTCATTTATCAGAACTACTTGTATGTCCCTATGCTCTCTGCTAGAATATGCAAAGCCAGGACATTTGGCAAGCTAATGATTCCCACAGATAAAATGATTCGTATTTCTTTTATGTGGTCATTTACTCATCAATTATTTATCAGATACTTGTTATGTGCCAGAATTAGTGGCTATAACAGTATGTTACTCAGTTATTGGTGCATAAAAATCACAGCATCTCAGTGACATACAATATAAGCATTTATTTCTCTTTTGTGCATGTATCAGGTCACTAGGATCTGGCTGATCTAGCTTGGGTTCAGCTGAGCAATACTTCAACCTATACATTGTACAGGTTGTTTGAGTCTACTACATATAAACTGTATCCTCCTGGAACTGGCTACATGAGGCATATGCTTCTCACAGCAATGGCAGAAATATAAGAAGGGCAAGTGGAAACATACAATGCCTTTTTTTTTTTTTGCGGTACACAGGACTCTCACTGTTGTGGCCTCTCCCGTTGTGGAGCACAGGCTCTGGACGCACAGGCTCAGTGGCCATGGCTCATGGGTCCATCCGCTCCACAGTATGTGGGATCTTCCCAGACCGGGGCACGAACCCGTGTCCCCTGCATCGGCAGGCAGACTCTCAACCACTGTGCCGCCAGGGAAGCCCTATAATGCCTTTTAAAGTCTAGGCTTGGAACTGCCCCACTATCATTTCTGTCACATTCCATTGATCAGCACAAGTCTCATGGCCATGCTGAATGGCCATGGGGCAGAGAGGAATAATCAACCTCCCTTGGGATAAACTGCAAAGCACATGACAAAGGACAGGGATTTAGAAAAAGGCAATTAACTTGTAACAGTAATGCAATCAATACAAGCAGTGATCAGACTGGAATCTTAACTTTGTGTAGTTTATATCCTATAGAAAAAGGATTGATAAATAAAGTATGTAAAACTAGACAGATGTAACTGCTGAGGAGAAGAAAGTAAAGCAAGGAAGGAGGTTAGAAAGAATAAAGGTGATTATAGTGGCTAACATTTTTGAAGATTGGCCAAGAAGGTTAGCTTCACAAAACAAAATGACAATTGAGTAACTTTCTTAAAGGAACTGAGAGAGACAAACGTGAAGATGGCTGAGGAAAAGCAGAGGAAGAAAGCACCTTTGAAGGCTGATCGTGGAATTGACATGGCATCTTTGAAGAGCAGAAAGAGTGTCTCTGTAACTGAGCCAAGGGAGTGAGAAGAAGACCAAAGAGGTGAGCACAGCTTGTTCGAGGCCAGTGAAACATTTTGTCTTTTAAGTCTGAATGAGGTGAACGTCCATTGGAGGATTTCCAGAAAAAAAGCAGTATGTTTATACTTTTTACTGGATCATCCTGGCTAACCTACTGGGAATGGACTGGTTGGGGTGGGGGGGCAGAGACAAGCTAAGAGGCCATCACAGTATTACAGGGGATAGACAGTGGTGGCTTAGACAAGGGTCGTAGCAGTGGATATGATGATAAGTCACTGAATTTGATTCTGGAAATATTTTGAAATTGAGTCATTCAAGTTTGGTGACAGATCAGATTTGCAGTGTGGGAGAGAGTGGTGTTTGGGATGATGGCTAAGATTTTGGCTGAATCAACTGGAAAAAAAGGAATTTATTTTCCTGAAATAGAAAAGACTCTGTGAGGAGCCCATGAAAAAGGAAGATCAGGGTTCAGTTTGGGACCCCTTATGGGTAAGGTGCCTATTAGTCATTCAGTGGAAAGTCAAGTGGGCTGTCACCTAGTGAGATGAGTGGAGGAGAGGTCCAGGCTGACAGATGGATGTTGGAGCCTTGTTCTTTATGCCTGTGTGTAAGAGTGAAGTTAATCAACTCATGAGACTGAATGAGATCACCAAATGAGTGAGTTTAGATAAAACAGTGACAAAACACGAAGGCCTGAACCTTCTAATTTCCAATTCCAAGAAGATGGTGAGGAACCAGCAACAGAAACTTAGAATTAATGAATATAAGAGAGAGAAAATGAGAGTGTGATATCATGGAAATTAAATGAAGAAACATTTTCAAGGAAGAGGGAGTTTTCAACTTAGTCCAATGCAGCTGAAATGCCAAGTAAGATAAGGACGAACAACTGTTAGGTTGAGTGAAATGCAGACCGTTCATGATCTTGTGAGAAATTGATTAACTGAAATGATGGAGCAAAAACGTTGTCAAAATGGGTTTAACAAAGAATGGGACAGGAGACATTGATGACAGTGACTTTAGGTCACTCTTCCAAGAGGTTTTATAAAAGGAGAAGGTAAACGTTTTGTTTGTTTGTTTGCTGAAGGCTGATGGGGAATTAAGGGAGAATCATTTTCTTTGTAAGTGGGAGAAGCATAATTATGAGACCTCTTAAAGCAAGAAAAAATAACAATACAGAAGAGAAGGAAAATTACTGAATTGATGGCCTTGAGTGTTGAGAAGGATAGATTCTGTGCAGAATGGAAGGTACGTGCTTTATCTAGAAGCATGGACCTTTCATCCACATAGTCTAGAGGGAGGACAGAGTAACTGGGGACAAAGACAGGTAGGTGAGAGGTGTGCTGATGGGAGCTGGGGGCTCCTGTTCTCTCAGTGACGTGGGAAACATCTGCCCATTGTCCAAAGTCAGTTCTCTTACCTCCAACTAAGGTAGCCTCAATCAAGCACCTTCTTAAAGCCATACTGGTGCTGTAGTTCCAAACAATGTGTTGGAAATCCTCAACCCAGAGAGGGACGGTGGGCCTCCATAGACATAAATAAGGACATCCGTAGCAAATGTGGTCTGCAGATACTTTTGTGACTTGGGACAGCTGGGATGCTGAAGAACCAGATTCCTGGTCTTCTTACAGGAGAAGCTCTTTCACTCCAGAGTCTCCTGGTGCTTAGATTTTCATTTCTCTGCTGTTTGTGGCTCTAAGAAGGAAGTTTGTTTATTTAAGGAAACTCCGTTGGACCTCTAGGGGATAAAATGGGTTGCTTTCCAATCCAAGATTGCTGACAATCCCCTTCCCAAGATTGCTAAAACTCAATCCACTGTTGAAAATATATTTCTGAAGATTCCCACATCAACTGCGCTGCTTGTAGCTTTGTATGGCCTTTGTGGGTTCTAAATACCAACCTCTTGTCCCATATCTTCCAGTAATTCAGTCACCACCTCTTTGAGAATGCCTTTTCCTTATGCCAATTCATTAAAAATGAACAATTGGGCTTCCCTGGTGGTGCAGTGGTTGAGAATCCGCCTGCTAATGCAGGGGACATGGGTTCGAGCCCTGGTCTGGGAAGATCCCACATGCCACGGAGCAACTAGGCCCGTGAGCCACAACTACTGAGCCTGCACGTCTGGAACCTGTGCTCCACAACAAGAGAGGCCGCGAGAGTGAGAGGCCCGCGCACGTGATGAAGAGTGGCCCCCGCTTGCCACAACTAGAGAAAGCCCTCGCACAGAAACGAAGACCCAACACAGCCAAAAATAAATAAATAAATAAATGTCGGGTTTAAAAAAAAAGAACAATTAAGTGATATTTTGGAGCACTTATCTCCCCTTCTATATTATCATATATTTGAGAGTAGAGGCAGTCCCATTCTTTGAGGCATCCCATGAAGGCCCACCTTATATAGACAAAGAACTTCATAAATTAATGAATGGATAACTTTTTACTTCCCCTCAGACATATTAAAAATTTGGTTAAGAAAAGACTGCCTGAGCAAAGTGTTAAAGGGTAATAGCAAGTCTGTTTAGAACAATGGCAAATGTTAACTAATTATTAGAAGACATCTTTTAATTTGAAAGTCTAGTTTTTAATTATTTTTGTGACAGTTTATGTTTAATTTTACCTGCTTCACCCCTGACTGTCGATGACAGATTTCTATTTTAATTATGCAGCCAATGATTGCTGCAAATGTGTTGAGGCCCTTCATTTATTTATTTGCCTTCTCTCAGCTCCCTTGGAATTAGACGTGAGCAGCCGTTAGGTATTACCAAGTTCTCCTGGAAATGGCAGTGATACATGATCACATAATTAGTGCCTGCCAAATTACTGAGACTCATGTGTCTCCCCACAGCCTTGGAGTATAAGGCCTATTAAACAGGGGATAAAGTCTCTGGGCAGACACACATGAGGTGATTGCCCAAGCTTTGAATATCTTTATTCTTTGCCCTGTCCATTCGGCAAGAGATAATCTATTCTCTGTAGTAGTTTGTCTTGGTGGCTCAACAAAGCACCCTTTTGCTTAGCGTCTTAAACAGCAACCATTTTGTTTGCTCATGATTCCGTAGGTTGGCAAGCTGGGCTGGGCTTAGCTGGGTGTTCTTTTGGTCTTGCCAGAGATCACTTACTTGTCTGTGGTCAACAACCAGATTGGCTGGGGCTGACCATTTCAAAATGACTTCCACTGAGGTAGCTCATTTTTGCTCCATGTGTCTCTTACCTCACAGGTGCAGCAGGGCAGTGTTCCAGGAAAGAGTAGAAGCACATAGATCCTTTCAAGGCCAAGACTCAGAACAGGCATGCCACTAAATACTAGGGACCAAAACAAGTCTCAAAGCCAATGAGACTTAGAGGGAAGGGCAATAGATTCCACATCCTGATGGGAGGAGCAGGAAAATCATATCCATGGAAAGGGCCTAGATGCAGAGAGATCATTTTTTCAATCTACAACAGCAGCTAAAATGTAATTTATTTAAAAATCTACATGAGCAAGGTAAGCCCATTAGTTGAGTCGCCTGGTGCTGAGAACTCTAAATCGCTGTAGATTTTGTAATGGAGTGAGAAGTAGGGCCCCGTTTTGCTGTGCAGAATGTACTGCTTCTTGAGTGGATGATAGGCTATGACTTCTGAAATGAGAACCCTTTGTGATGATGTTTGTTACCATTTTGGAGGCAATAGTGGGGCTCCAGCAAGGAAAACCAACAAGGTCAATGAATGGCCCCCCAAATTCTGCGTGGAGTCAGGTATGGCTTCCTCCATCATTTTTCTCCCCCCCTCTGGACATGTGGTACTCCATCTCTGCCCTGTCTTCAGGTAACTTGAACATGGTTTTAACTGTGGTGCTAGCTGATAGCTAAGGCGCTAAGAAAAAAATGTTAAGGTATTTCTGTCTCTCAAGGGGTCTATTGACATTTCAAAGACTTCAGAAGGCAAAGTCATAACGCTATGATGGTAGAAGGATGGGCAGAAGTGCTCAGGCTTTGAACAGAGGGCTCCATCCTGCTCCTAGACAATACTTCTGCTCCTTTTATCCTAAGTATTGAAGTGCTTATTGTCAATTCTAAATTCCAATGCGTAGAACACTCTATAAGGCATTTCCCACGTACATTAAATAGAGGGTAATGTTGGGAGATGACGGCGGGATGGCCAGTGCTAACGGTGCCCCAGTGGCATCCTGTTTAGATGTTGTGACCTTAGGCTGCATTTCCTTCTGTCCTGCCTTCATTGATCCCTGCCATTTTTTGCAAGCTCTATTTTTCATACTTCCAGCAATTCTTGGAGCTACTTAATAATAAAAATCCCTCTTGCTAGTAATCCCCCTGGCTAATAAATCCCTCTTCTGCTAAGTTAACCAGAATCCTTTTTAGTTGCTTGAAACTAAGAACTCTACTGATTGATTTTTAAATGTTTTCCTTCAATTCTCCTCGGGCTCTCTTAATTATTAGTCAAAGTATTTATTTTGGGGGGTGGGGCTGGAAAGCTGGAGATTAAAGCCACATTGGAATAGGTTCACAATGATTTTTCAGTACAGGTAAATGAAAAGCAGTGGGGCCCTGCTCAGATTCCCCCTTCCAGGCAGATCTACCATCCCCAGATGCTGTATGTATTGACTACTAAGATCTCACAACTTCTCTCCGCACTCCTCACCCCCCAGCTGAAGAATTACCCTCAGCACTCAGAGCCACTTTTGCCTTCCCTTCCTCCCACCCCCCTCCCCCAGAGGCACCTCAAGGCCAATGATGAACGGATAAGAGGGTAGAAAGGCCAATGCCCATGCCTCAAGGGGGCCCAGCTCAATAGAGCTTCAGAAGCCCTCAGGCATCAGGCCGAGGCTAGACTCCAGCCGAGACCATGTCTTTGCTCAGCTCCTTCCCTGCCCTCTTCTCCTGAGACCCCTTCCTCAGTGAATCCCTGACTTCGGCGCTGCTTCTAGGAAAGCCAGGCCCACACTGCACAGCGGGATCTGGGAGAGAAGTAGTTGTGGAGTCTAATTGCTGTAGCAGTTAACCTCGGATGTCAGTGTCTTAAAACAATA